AGGAGCATGATAATGAAAAAAAACAACCCGGACGAAGTTATGCTTTTGTCGTTGACACAGCAGAGTTTAAGACGACAGAGTAAATTAGAAGTCTTTGAGAGAGGTTTTGAGAGCCATAGAGGGCGAAAGGAAAGTTTTGACTTTGGAGATGCTAGAATAGAAAACTATGTTTAGTTCCTGATGTGGTGATACCTCCAAAGTTTCAAGTTGCCAGGAGTTGAGACATATCGGGGGGAAATACTTGCCCAAAGAAGCCAAGAAAATGTACTGACAGAAAATGGCAGCTTTGACCATGATGGAAACTTTTGATTCACTGCTTCCAAGAAAGTTTAACTGGCGTGGCTCTAACTTGGTACATGGCGCTTTAGAAACAACTCACATCTACTCATGGAAAGATCTGGTTGATGCATTCCTAAGACAATATGAATATAGTAAAGATCTAACACTTGACAGAGTACAACTGCAGAATGTGGTGAAGGAAGAGTCTGAATCATTCAGAGAATATGCCCAAAGGTGGAGAGAAATTGTGTCAGTAGGACCTCCTCTGAATTGACAAGGAGATACTACCATATTCTAAGTAGTACTCTTACAAAACAACCATTTAAGAATCATGAGAAGCAGTGTATATAGAGTTGTGAATGATATTAGTAGTAATTGGAGAAAGAGTTGAGAGCGGATGAAAATGGAAAATTGACAATAGGTACCAAATCTGGTAGCGAATTTGAATGAGTATGGTCCTGAGCATAAGAAAAATAGAGAACCAAAAGCAAATTCGCATTTTACTGCCTATTCCCAGATGTCGCGTGCCTATGGGTCCAATCGAGCCATGGAGCAGAGACATTACAATCGAAATGAGAAGGTCGTCAATTTCGCTCCTATCCCCATGACCTACACTGAGCTACTGCCAGATCTTCTCCGCAATAACCTCATAGAGATTTGTCCCACCAGGCCTGTACGATCTCCTTATCCAAAAAACTATGACATAAATGTCAGGTGTGATTATCATGAAGGAGCGCGTGGACATTCAACAGAGGCATGGCCAAAGCTTTAAAGCAAGTGGGCAATATTTGATCGATTAGGAGTTTAAAGTTTGAAGAAAGTCATTCCAGCACTTGTGGCAGCAAGGGGCATGAGGTTTGCTCTACAAATGCCATGGACAAATGAAGAGGGAATCTAGGACTATATGGGAAAGCATATATTATTGTAAAAGGCGAAACTGATGTTGTTTTGCTCATGTTTTGAATTGTCTTGCTATGAGGGCTATGCTCATTGATATCATGCTTCCATCCATGACTTTAATGTGAACTTTCATTACGAGTATCTCCAAGGTTACTGGAAATCATGTCCCAAATAGGGGTCGTAGAGAAACGAAAGCCGCAAATAACAAATTGAAAAAACAAAAAAAATGAAGGCAATCTTGAGTCACTCGTTTTTCTTGTAAATCGTCAAACTCTTGTTTTCGAAAATAGCAAAAAAAAAGGCAATAAAAAATGATTAATGCGAAAAAACAAAAGTTGCAAGTGTCAGATTATTCCGAGGTCAAATGTTGAATCAAAAATAACAATTTGACGTTTTTTCGAGACGTTTGTGCGCAGTTGCTTTGAAAACTTCACCATGTACCTTTTCCAAAATAAAGGGATTTCCCCAAACAAACCACGTCACTACTCCCTCAGCTAAACAAAGTAAAAGTAAACCTTTACACTGGCAGATTGGTTGACCAAAAAGTACTCTCGCTGGCTGTTGGGTGATCCCTGATTCATTGAGACAAACAAAAGAAATTCCAACAAGAGAATAACCCACTAGATGAAAATCCGAAAAAGGAAAGGGCAGTCTAGAAGGAAAGAAAGGGAAAAAGAACTCATGTTGAGTTCATCTAGTGTAGAATAATCTTTGAAAATAAAGCAATCAGAATTGGAAATGATGTTGGCCATCTTGTCTTTATCATAAAAAGCAAAAAAATATTTATATCCCATTGTTCAACCCCCCCCGTTGAGCCAAAAAATAACTCTTTTTCAAAATTAATCCCCAAGCAAGGGTTGTCATCAGGTTAGGAGTCAACTATTGATGCAAAAGGAAAACAATCAATGATTAAACGAAGAAAAATTTCATCAAGTAGAAGAGGTGTGAACAAGAAAAAACCAAAAGACAAAAAAAAAAATACAAAGTGTGATTGAAAAAAAAATGAAAAATGGCGATTTCAAGAAAAACAAAATGCTAAAAGGTCAAATTAGTGGACACAATTGCAGATGATAACCCGTTGTTTCAAAAAAATAACCGACAAGCAGTCATTTGGGCCTTTATATCCGTTTCTTGCAATACCCTTTAGCTTTAGCCACGTTATAAGCCTAATAAAGTCCACCACAGATGAATGATTGTGTGCTCAAATTTTCATAAACGCTTAATTTTGCGATAAGACTAAGTGACTTGCAATGTGTCCAAAAAAAAAACCAAAAAAAAAAACCAAAAAAAAACAAAAAAAAAAATTTGAAAATGAATGAAAAAAAACGTAATGTATCAGGAAAGAAGGGATCTCTTTGTCAACTAGGCAAAAGCATGCAAAAGAAAATCAGACCAATTGGGGTAATCCTTTTAGCCGATCCTTTTCATGTCCACTACCTCTTCCAAACAAAACCTCACGCCAAAAACAAAAAAAAAACGACAACTGGGGCAGCTTGGTGGATCTCCATCTGCGTCTTTTCCTCGAAATCATCAACTTCAATAAATCTAAATAGACTGGGGCAGCTGTTGCGGAGTCTTACTTGAATTTTCCACCTGAGAAAAATTATCAATGGATTCATCACCATACTTCCAATTACACCAAACCGGGCAACTTTTAATACCTCGTGTTTCGGCTTCGCCCTCAACTCCTTTAAGGAGCCATATGAGGTAGAGTGGCCCGCAGTGGTTGTCCATTCTCTTCCCAAGCCATTCTTAAACAGCTCTATCTCTTCACTTGCCAGTAAATTCAAGCATGTGTGCACTAAAGTCTCGGAAAGAAAAAAGATTCAAAATGTAATCATCTCAAAATAGATCGGATGTATGACATTCCCGCTTTCGACCATTGGAAAGTAATGAACCAGTTGATGTGAATTGCCAGTAAGACAATTGACTCACGACAAAAAAAAAAATAACATTCAGATTTTCTCTTTCAAGCCATATTGTTCATGTCGATCAAACTTTTCTCATATTAGGGTCTTGAATCCTCATCCCGCATCAAGATTTTAATACTTTGTAATGAAGGGGTTCAAACGCTTGATGGTCTTTTCAAAATCAGATTTCTGTCAAAATACAAAACATTTCACAAAATTACAAGTCTCAAGAATTTCAAAATTTGAAAGCCCAGTTTCCATACTGGCCCACAAAGCCTAGTTTCCACACTGGCGCCTAAAGCCCAGTTTTCATACTGACCCACAAAGCCCAGTTCGCCTGGCCCCAAAGCCCAGTTTCCACACTGGCCCCCCAAAGCCCAGTTTCCACGACGGCCCCCAAAGACCAGTTAGTTTTCGACACTGCCTCCAAAGGACAGTTTACACATTGGCCCCAAAGCCCAATTTTCTACACTGGCCCCCCAAAGCCAGTTTCCACATGCACCCAAAGCCCGTTTCGTACACTGGCCCACAAGCCCAGCTTGCCTGGCCCCAAAGCCCAGTTTCCACACTGGCCCACCAAAGCCCAGTTTCCACACTGGCCCCCAAAGCCCAGTTTCTACACTGGTCCACCAAAGCCCAGCTTGCTTGGCCCCAAAGCCCAGTTTCCAAACAGTAAGCCCCCAAAGGCCCAGTTCCACACTGGACCACCAAGCCCAGCTAGTCTGGCCCCCAAAGCCCAGTTTCTACACTGGCCTCCAAAGCCAGTTACTCACACGCCCCAAAGCCAATTTCCCACCACGGCCCACCAAGCCCAGCTCGCCTGCCCCCAGCAGTTGGCCCCCAAAGCACAGTTTCTACATGGCCCACCAAAGCCCAGCTCAGCTGGCCTAAAAGCCCAGTTGCCACACTGGCCCCTAAAGCCCAGTTTCCATACTGGCCAAAAGCCCAGCTCGCCTGGCCCCCAAGCCCAGTTCTACACTGGCCCAGAAGCCCAGCCGCTTGGGCCTCCAAAGCCCAGTTTCTTGGCATCCTAAGTTCAAGTGTCCTTTTGTATTGCCAGCCTTCTGCTAGGCAATGGTCGAACTTTTTTTGTCGACGTCATGGCACTTTTTTTTGAATTCAATTATCGTATCTGCTTGGATAAGTTTTTATTTTCCATTCTTTCTCTTTTGGAAATCCAGACGAAATTAGTGTTTCTTTCTTTACTTAGCTTTTACTCCGATATACGAACTATAACTTTTCAATTACTGATAGATATTAAGTAAAGAGGGGTAGGTGTAACACCCCAATGTTCGTCGAATGATTTTTTGGTTTGTACTGGAGGATATTTAGTATATGATTACATATAGGGGGGGGAGGGGTGGGAGGGGCAGGGCGGGGTGATCGGGGAGGGCGGAGGTAGGGGTGGTGAGGGAGGGAGGGCGGATGAGGAGACGAGGGGGGAGGAGCCGAGGGGGAGGGACAGAGAGAGGGGAGGTGGGCGTTTTTTTTCTTATTGGGCTTGACCCAGCACTGGCCCGGGGGTGGTATGGGGGTGCGCGGGTAAGAAAACAGGGTCTGTAGAACAGAATCGAGGCTCCTTTGGTTTGGGTCAAAGTCCTTTTTCTCTAACTTTGTATCTGCCAAGGTGTAAAGATGAAAATGGAAGTGCATCCCGAAATGTGTGTCCAAGTCCAATTCTTCTTCTTCTCTCTTCTTTTTTTTTTACTGGCAGAAAGGCTTAAGCCCAAATGAAAGGGGTGCAAGGAGTTACGCGTGTGGCAGGGAGAGGGGATGCAGCCCAATAGCCCAAAGCCTCATAACCCAAAGCCTCATAACCCAATCAGGAACCCATTAGGGGTTTCCCAGTCCCATCTCATTTGCGTAAGCAGCGTCAAGACCCAGGGTCTTCTCCTCTGAACAAAAGAATCCATGGACACTTACCTCTACCACACGACGGTCCCGACTCAACCTCCACACAAACCGGCCACCGCTAGCCGCGGTTCGCAGCGTTGTCAACGACGACACTCGCCACCGGAGCCATCGCCGGCCACAACACCAGGTTCCCCTTGTTCTTCTTCTCTTCGCGCGCGACAGAAAAGCGCTCCCATTCATCGCCGGCCACCGCTTCCACCGAAACCAGCCACTACGCCACCACCTCTTCCAGTCTTGGCGTTGACGGCAACCCCAAGCGCCACCGGAACCGTCTCCAACCGTGGCGCCATTGATGCCTCCGATGCCACACCGCTGCGTCCTATAGCTGGACCAGAGACATCACTGGCGGCAAACGCTAATGTTGGAAACGCCTTCGCTACTCACAGTTCCCTTTTCACGCCTGGGATAGAAACGCCGCCACCGGCACCCCCCCTTGTTCGACCCTAACTCACGCCGACGCAACTCCCAGCCACCGTCGCCGGCATGGGCAGATGATTGTTCTACATATTTCCTTTATCTCTGTGTTTAGGTTTTCCTCTTTTGGTGATTTGAATCTGTTTTGGTGTTGTTTATTGCTAGAGCAATGAAGACAGATTTTGATTTTTTTTTGCAGTTAATGGTGTAGTCAATGATGGATGACGGGTGAAGATAGGTGGTGGCCGTGAGGTGTTGGTAGTGGTCGTGGGTGTCAAGATGGTTGTGGCAGTGTGTGAATATGGATGATGGTTGATGATTGGATGAGGGAATGAGGTTTGGTTGAGTAAATGGAGGAATACAAAGTTTGCGTGTGTGCCTGTGATGATGGGTGGGAGTTGCAGCAGGGAATGGAGATGATCACGGGTATTGGAAATCAAGTGTTGGAGGTGAAGATTGATGATGTTTAGTAATAATGAGCATATACAAATATCCAGTGTATTCAACAACATTCATATACAAATTTAACAACAATCGTAACAGAGATATGTTCGTGGGCAAGTAACCAACTCAGTAGAACATGGAGTGTAAGGTATTACTTACCTCTCGAAGATCTTTTTGCTATTGCCAACCTTGCGTCTCCAATGGGTCTCTCCCTCTCCTTTGGCTGGCGTCTGTCTTTTTCTGCAGGTGAAAATGGTGAATGCTCTCAGAGACATTGTCAAATCCTCCTTTGCTTTTCTCTCCCAAAACCAGAATCAAAATCCAATCTGCTCTCCCTGCTTCTTTTTGTGCAATTCTCTGTGCCAAATTGCTTGTACTCTCTGCAGAAAACCGTTTCTGCCTCCCCCTCCAACACACATACTGCTCTTTTTTGTCCCCCCACCCGAAAACATTCTCTCTTCCTTTTCTCATATATTTTTGGGTTAAATATGTTTTTAGTCCCTAAACTATTGGCCGTTTCTGGTTTTCGTCCCTCTTCCAAAGTAAGGTACTATTTGGTCCTCATTCTTTAGAAAAACGTTCGTTTTAGTCCTCAAATTTTTGTTTTTAGTCCTCGTTTTAGTCCTCAAAACGTTCGTTTTTTCGACTAAAACGAACGTTTTTTAAAGATTGAGGACCAAATCGTACCTTAGTTTGGAAGAGGGACGAAAACCAGAAACGGTCAATAGTTTAGGGACTAAAAACATATTTAACCCTATATTTTTTTCTTCTCTTTTTTCTATCTTTTTTAACTGTATTAATTATATTAAACAAAATAAACTTTAAATAGATAAAACTAAAGATGAAAATAAAATAAAAATAGAAAATAAAATAAAAATAAAATAATAAAAATAAAAATAAAATAATAAAAATGTAAGAAAAATATATATACATATATATGGAGAAAAAATAAAATAATATATGTAAATAAAACTAGGATAATACAAACATAGTAATAATAATAAGAAATAAATAAATAAATAACAATAAATAAAGAAATAAAAGATAAAAAACCGAAAATGAAAGATAAAAAAATAAAATAAAATAAAATAAAATAAAATAAAATAAAAATAAAAAAAATAAAAATATGTAAATAATATAATAGACTACAGTAAAACCAAAAAAATCAATCCGGACGAAATTGGGTGTTGACAAAAGTCATCTTTACCATCATCCAAGGAAAACTATAAACATAATTTATATACAAAATGTACTAGTATCTGAACTATATAGAACACTGGTGTATCAAAAGTCCACCAAGAAACTATAAGTACTCAAAAGAAGACCATCTATAACTCTATAAATTAGAATCCCCTCTGCCTAAAGCTTGCTCGACGGACACGTCATCTTGCTCTGCTTAGACCCACTTTATGATCATTGTCAAAGGAAAATATACATAGAACAACTCTTTTTGAAAACCACATTCTCCCTTTTTGAATCTCAACTCAGAACTCTGATACTCATATAAACTCTTACATAATCATACATCATCTCTAAATGAATCAAAGCATCAATCAAATCAATCAATAATAAAGAAAGAAAGAGTTAACCAAAAACCTAGACCCGTCGCTCAAGGACTACACTCGGTTGGAAACCAAAAAGTTCTCTCGCTCAACGACCCAGCTCGTTGTGCGAATACACAGATAGTGGTTCCCATACCTCACTCTCTCGCTCAATGGCTCAGCTCGTTGTGCGAATAAAATGACAGTGTTCCCAGACTCCAAACCCACTCGCTCAGCGAAGCAGCTCGCTATGCGAATAAAGTGACAGTGATCCAGACCCCCAACCCACTTGTTCAGCTACCCAGTTCGTTGTGCGAATGAGAAGACAATAGTCCAGACCCTCAACTTCTTGTTGGGCGACTCCACTCGCTCAGCGAGTCTGCATAACTTTACAACACGAAATATGTAGAATTATGACCCCAAACCAAACTTAACCAAAATGAGATATTTTTCCCAACTTATAACCCTCCTATTTTGTGTTATCCACTCAATTAAACTTAACCAATTGTACCTAGACTATCCTAAACTCATTTTTAAGTGTTACTACCAAGATTAAACTTTAAAATCTACCAAACTTCAAGAGTTGAACCCAAATTGAATTTTATCACTTTTAGTTCTTAAGTGTGCAACTTAGGGGTCATAACAAGTCACAATTGACTTCATTACAGACCCCAACCACTCAGATTCCCAAATTCACTACTCAAGTTCCCCATCCAAAATTCACTACTCAAGTTCCCAAATTTGCACTTAAATCATTCAAAACAGCACCAAAATACTAACACCTCTATGCTTTAATAACTCATATCATCCACCTTCATAACATCAATCACATACACAAGACAATGACCATCATTAACCAGATTCATCCAACCATTTCAATCAATCACACATGCATATTAAAACTAACACCTTAGTCAAACATCAAAATCAACATACATATGAATTTCCATATCATCACATACCAAAACATACCTTGTAACTCAATTAAAATGAAAAACACTAGCTTCTTTTACCTCTAACTCAACGGCCCAAACGCAAAACGCTCTACAGATGGATTGCACCGCAAGGAATTTCTGAAACACCTACACATCACCGATTGGTGATTGGAGACCAACTTTAGAACCTCAATCGAACCAAGAAACAAGGAAGAAAGATTCTTGATCCATGCAAAAACAGAATCACTGTGCATGATTAAGAACCCTAGAATACTAAAGAAAAGGGGTTTAAACTTATTTGCTCTAAACAGTGAATCGATCAGTTGAAGTTGTAGACCTCGACACAGTGATCGCCTAGGTACCTCGTGATCGTTAAATGAAGGATCAAGGAGTTAGAATGCTTAGAGAGGTGGTAGAGAGGTTAAGAGAATAGTGTTTTAGAGAGATAGAAGGTGATTTAGATAATGAGACGAGTTTAGAAAATTCTATTTCTATTATGTTATTATTTTATAATAAAATACTCAGTCTCGTTATTTTAATACACCTATCAACTCTAATACTCTATTTTCTAGGTTCTTACATTCTTCCCAACAACAAAAAGTTTCGACCTCGAAATTTAGACTTACCAAAGAACAGGTGAGGATACGACTCTCTCATGACTCTCTCTAACTCCCAAGTAGAGTGACTGTTCTACTATCCCAAACAACTTTGACTAAACCGATGGTCTTTCCTCTGAGTTGTTTCGTCTGGCTCTCCAGAATCTCCACAGACTGAACAATACTGGTACACCCCAAGGTGAGACACTTGGTCGAATAAACTGCTTCTCAAGCAACTCCTCAATTTACTTCTTCAATTCCACCAACTCTGCAAGAGTCATCTTATAAGGAGAAATTGATATTGGTCATGCACCAGGCACCAGATCAATAGAGAATTCAACCTCTCTAAGGAGGTAATCTAGGCACTTCCTCTGGAAATACATCCAAGAAATCACTCACTTACTGAGAAGAAGACCCCCAAGACCCATAAGTTGGAGGCCTAGAATAAGGTTTTCTTCTATCTCTAGGAATGAAACGAGACCTAGAAGGTCCACCAACTTTATGTGGTTGCCTACTCTGCTTCTCCATCTCTTCTTTGGTCTTCTCAAGTACTCTAGCCCTCTCCACCGAGGCTGGAAACTCCTTGATACACAAACTCGTGACCAAAAGCTTAACATCACCTCTCAACCCATTTTCAAATTTCCTACATTTCCGTTCTTCATCCATGGTCAATGTATGAAATCGGATAAGATGCTTAAAATAATCCACATACTCAAATACATACATGTTTCCTTACACCAACTGAAGAAATTCAATCTCCTTTCCAAATCTCACATTATCTGGAAAGTACTTTGTGTAGAACTTTTTCTTGAATAAATCCCATGTAATAGGAGTATCGCTACCTTCAAGGAGCATCCTCATACTACTCGACCAATGACTGGTCTCTCCAGACAATAAGTACTCTATATAAGAAAGATTGCTCTCTTATGGATATCTTTTTGCGTTGAATATCCTTTCCATATCTCTAAACCACTTATCAGCTTCATTAGGACTTGGCTTTCCACTGAACTTAAATGGATGATGTTGCAGAAAACTCTCTAAACTTCAATCTTGAGACACAACTAGTGAAGAAGAAGAAGGCCCTGCTGAAACTTTCCCACTACTTATCAGCTCCATATACTGCCTTTAGGAGGCTTCAGCTGACATCCTAGCAACGTCTAACTGCTACAAAGCAACTGTATTCTACTGAACCAAAGCAACATTCTGATTCTGCATTGCTGCTATAACAGATTTCATCATCCTCATAAGGTCTAGTGCATCTGGATTAGTAGGTGGTGGAGGAGGAAGCCTAGGTGTCATCTTCTACTTACACAGAGAGAAAAGCCATCAACCTAATTCAAAGAAACAAGGATACTAACCAAACCTAACTATGAGTACACAACACAAGCATAGTACGCTCATAACCTACAGGATTCCTACGGAAAGAACTGCTCTGATACCAAAAATGTAACATCCCAAAATATAGCATGAAACTATATAATAGTCATCACATGTTAATATGATAGATCAGTTAACAC